TCTTGACGTACAGGCGTAGAACATGAGCGGGGTTTTTGGAAAGGGAAGGGGGAAGAAGTCGCGGGCTGGGTAGCACTTCACACATTCTGTTGCGGTGCTCTGTAGGACTGAAAATTAGTTAAGAATTTGCAGGTAGGTTTTCCTGTTTGTATACCTTGATTATTGGAGTGTACAGTTCCCTTATTGTCAAACCAACAAAGTTTCGTGAGTGTGCGCTAAATGGTATGTGTGAATAGCTGCAGAGGTTTGCAGTGCTTAAAGGGTTCAGCAAGGTGCATCTCAGCTTTCTTCCCCATTCATGTCAGAAACTGTATGGGGTGTGGGCATGGAAAGCCGTAATTTCATTCAAATAAAATTCTATTGCGTTTTCGCTGAGTCTAAAGTAAGTGTCCCACCAGAGGCTTTTGATATGGAGTGATTGTGACAGCCTTTGAGCATGGGATGTACTCATAGCGTGAGCAATCTGTGGCACCATGCGTCGGACGGCTCGTGCATAAGCATTGCAGTGCCAAGCAAATTTGGCTGTTCGTATGAAATCGTTAGAACGAGCTCTAGCTGGCCATTTTTCACCGTTGGTTTGTCCCAGAGTCCGAAAAGATAACAGCTATCTCTGACGGGGATTATAATATGGCGATCGTCCAGCACATAGAAAGCATTGCACGACTACACTCTGTGTGGTGTGCTGCTCGGGTGCTTTTTCTTCGAATCGGTTCAACTAGTAATCTCACTATCCGAACGCAATTGGTTTGTCGCTCTGGTTGACAGGGTGCCCTGTGGAGGCTTCTCAATTGAGAAGTTTTTCTTGATACGCCTAGCCGTAGGTTCACGGTAACTGCCTCAGAATGTAGAGATAGCATCATATGCTCCCCAAAATCAGATTGTAGAGCGGCTTTAGGTAGGTCATGAATATTTGAAAAAACACCTGGGCAAAGCTATTACCAGGAGACTTGTATTATTGCGGGTGCAGCATAATCAACTGCTCTTAATGCCTCGTTTGGGCCCCACCAGCTTCAGTGACTGGGAGGAGCCAGGGCTTGAAATCAAGCAGTCAGACGCGTTTTTTTCATATTTTCCTCCGATGTATTCGTTTACTTGTAGAAACAACCCAGGCTAAATCCGAGGAATATGTGTCTTGAGTGAGCCACCCATTTGCTCTAAAGCTGCGTATGCCCTTGACCCCAGCGTCTAGACTGGGTTAAGCTCCAGGGTGGTATTAGCTGAGCTCCAAAAATGATACAGACTACAAAAGAAGAGACTCAAAAACTGGAACTACGCGTCAGAGGTAGGCATATCTCCTGTTAACCGTGCTTTGGCGGCTGCGCGTCATTTCCACTGCAATGGGAGACTCCTCGTAGGGTTAGGTCTGGTGAAAGTTCCCTCCCACCACTTTGCTGCGTGAAGCTCTTAGGAGCTATTTTGAAGACTTTTCTTTCATTTGTATGGATGCCAACAATCTGTTCCATTTATTCCTCCTCTCTACATGCACATCATGCAGTTTCTTCGTGGTCTTGGCTGAGCACTGAACCCCAGTTCGAGCTCTTTCATCCCAATTTGTCGGCGACAAGAAGGTTTCCTCAATGCATGTGCCATCCGAAATCTGCCCGCACGCAGCTAAGAGTGTCTCATCGACAGAATGGGATGCCAAGGACGAAATTGTATCCATTGCGGTCTGATTATGCCATAGTATGGCATGTGCATATCCTTGAGTGTTCTGGCTGATCCACGAATCTTGCGGCTACTGCAGAAACTGAAAAACGAGTTAACGCGCTTATTTCAAGGAACCAAAGCGGAGCTGAGGCATCTGAGCTAACAAACGAAATTTTAGCCCTGCAGGATAAAATTTGTTCCCTGAGTGGGACCAGCGAGGTTTCTGTGTCACTCCTTGCCCAGCAACAAACGGTAAGAATCAGGCTTTGCTACTTATGTGTTTGCGTGTATATGTATGCAATTATGTGCACGGCCGTGATTTCGTCCCCTACCTCCGTTTTCCTCCTCTTTATCTCTCAGATTTTGAATCGATCGTCAGAGGCCCTGGCAAAACACCAACAGCAGATTGCACTATCCCGGCCTTTTTCATTTCAGCGGCAAGCTCCTGTTCCCCCGCAGCTCACTGCAACAAGCCGTCCTACCGAAAATGATGTGCAGCTGGAGCAGCGTCCTCCTGATAGTGTCACAGGGAGCGTCCTTAGGATTACGGGACTCTCCAGGAGAGTGTAAGTTTCAGAATGCCCCCTTCTGCTGCTTGGTGAGTACTGCAATGGGAAAAGTTATACTGCCCAGCTGCGTGGAGCAGTTCGACACTTTGACGGCGTGTTTGCAGCTTACTTGTTGGTCCTGGGGTGGCACGCGGAAGAGAGGTCTGGCTGAAGGACTTGGTAAATAACCCGTTTGCATGTTCCTCGTTCTGTGCATCGGATAAATCCCAGTCCCTTGAGTCAATTGTAACCAATACACCCTTTCTCCAATGTAGCTGCCTGTGGAGAAGCAGGCATCAAATATGCATTGGTGTGCAGGAGGGCTGCACGGTTTATATTGTTGACCAGATACCTTGTGCCCGGCTGGACAATATCCGGAATTCTGCAATACTGTACGGAAAACTATCTTCGCCTCATCCAGGCATTAGCACATTAGCGTAGTTGAATGAAGGGGGGGGCAAGTTCAACGCTATGAGAAGCAGGTTCAGCTGGACGACGGGTTTCTTTTGTGAAACAAACTGTGCGCAGGCTACTGCAGGTGTCCAGTGCCGCATGGCTGCAGAGCTGCAACAAATGCCTTTTTACCGTCCAAGCACAGCAGGTTGGTAGCCCAGATTGATGAGAATACAGCATATTGTGCACGATTCCACTGCCTGCCTAGCCAAGTGGAGTAACCTAATTACTATATTGTTGGAAAGCCGTTGCGCTCCTTGATGTTTCTTTGTACAGCTGCGCGTGCACGATTGTCGTGATGTTTGTTTTTTCCTAAATACGGCGTCATCTCCTATTATTGAGTCGTAAGCCTTCGGTGATCAGTTCTCCGTAGGTGCACATTTCGGGTAGGAACAGAAGCCTGACTATTAGGAAGTCACACGAGTATAGAAAAGCATAGATTAGTGCTGTGTATGTCTCGTGCTCAGGACCACTGAAGCGCTATTTGCAGCACCTATCTGCCGGCTACGGCAGAAGGGCTACTGTCTACAGCCTGTAGGGAAAGGGTGCAATGGGTTCCTGAATATAGCAAATGCTGTACCAATAGTTTCAATTTGCTAGTATTTGTCTACACGATTCCTGGATATTGTCACAGCGATCGCCAGAGGTGTCCTCTCGCCCAAGCAATACTTTCTACAATATCACCCCAGTGCTAGGTGTGCCCCACTCGCAGGCGGAGCTACAAAACAGTGGCCTTTGGCGAGACGTGAAGGATTTCGGATGGATTAAACGGCAGGTAAGATACGGATACCGCTAACACAAAGAGTATACACTCCACTGCATTTTTTGGTATCTTCGGTTAGCGTACTGTGGAGCAGATTTGAGAGCTTCGTCTTTTTACTCTTCTTTCTCTTGGTTTACCTCTGTGCGCAGCAATCGCCTAACTGGCGGTTGCTGGAGGGGCCAGAACCGCGAGTGTACCCACTGTACTGTGACGCGATCGGAGATTTTTCTGGAGCAACTCACAAAGGGGCATCTGCAGATGAAATGGCTAGTATTGACGCGCGGATCAGCAGTGACTTATCGGAGGTCACTGCCAAAGACTGGCGGCTAAAGGGTATCCCCCGTCTTTTTTCGGTGGAGGGTTTGGCGCAGCATCCAACTGCTGCCAAAACGGCAGCCGCTATCGTTGCAGAGTCCTTGCTGCAGCCACCAGAACAGCCACTAAACATGCCTGGTCAGTGCGGAAGAGAAAAGGAAGCTGACTCATATGAAATTAAGTAGAGCCAAGGTGATTTAGACCGCCACCCATTTTTTCGTACTCTCCTTGTAATGTCCTCTTGGTACAAGCATAACTTCTTGCTACTAGCACTTGGAAATGACTCTATAAGAATCGCACCCTAATGCATCCTCGAAGGGTAGGTCAAAGCGGGGTAAAAAGCTCATGTGCTGCTGTGGCTGAGCCACAGGCATAATGCCATAATGAGGGCAGCGGAGTTTATTAATCATACTCTTCACCCTAAGTATGTTTTGCAAAGCATCTATGGGACAGCACACACACGTGATTGGATATCGACCGTTTAGGCCTTTCCAATTGTGGGGACAAGCACAGGGGCTCTTATGGGTTGTACGATGATAATATTTAAAGAGCTACACAATATCGAGAGGAGAGAGAGGGCTTTGTCTCAATTCATGAAGTCCACCAGTAAGTGCAGTACCTTTTGTACTGAGTACTGGAGCGGACGAGTATACTTGTGCATCTTTTCTTCACCTGTAACGTTCGTTGTTAGATTTAGATGAAGAGGCGCTTAAAACTAGACTCAAACCAAAGTAAATGGACAGCTACTGCGTGTGCTCGCAAAAAGAGCTCCCTGTTCCCCCTCCTCGGGCGCCCTGCAACTTCCGGCATGGGGTAGGACAGGTCGGGTGCACGTTGCTGCACCTTTTGAGCATTCCGAACATTCACAGCAATTGCCTGTAGCATCCAGCGCACACGCACACATCGCGCGCACTTGTATCGATCCAACGCTGTTGTGCAATAAGCAATATATATACCAACAGCCGAGCTAATATGTCGATTCTGTACTAATTTTAAGCCTGAATAACTAGTGTACTAGGAAGGGGTTAATTGTAGCTCAGGCGGCTTCACCGCACGTTCTGGTTCGACTACTTATCTTCATCTACCGATTTTGCTTACTAATTCCCTGTTATTAATGTAGAGCTACTTGACACACTCGGGACTATATGCAGGCCTTATGAAGTGTGATATCTCCACATTCTGCTGTCAGCGTGCTTTGTTGCTTGGGCCTGGACTACTGCGTGCAGCCATTGCTTCAGGAGGCGCGGTTGCATTGCTAGCCTAGTGTACATTCCGTATCCCCATACATCATTTTCAGTATTGTCCTTTGTCGTAGCAGGAGGCTCACATATTGTAGCAATCAGGCGACAGGGAGCTAACGTACCGCCATGGTCATGTTCCTTTGGTCCCAATTTCGTTCGTGGGTAGTGTATTTGTCTCTTCACGTCAATATATCTCTAGCGGCGAACGCCTATTTTCCATTCTCGCTTGGGTTGTTGATCTTGTTTCTGTGTGCCTGGATAGTGGCCACAGTGCACTAACTCTCGTGCTGCCGTGCTCACATTTTGTTCGAATGCAGAGGGGTACGATCTAAGGGCGACCGGTTTAAAGTAACGCAGATAGCCTCCAAACGACGTGCATGACTTTACTCCGGGAAAGTGGATCACATAATTCGTAACTGCAACGACATGCAAACGAGCCAAAGAAGTTGAACACGCGGATGGGACCCAAGAGAAGCACGATGCTTAGTTAGCACAGAAGGCTAAACACCAAAACGCGAAAATTTCCATCCTGCATAGCAGCGATGAGCGAAACCCCAAGAAATCAAGGAGTAGCCACTATGCTTACGCATCAACTAGCACGCCAAGATTTTTTGTAGGCTTGCGCCTAATTGCTGATATCCTTTCCCTGGCTTGCTGCAGTCACTGCTCCTCTGACCGAGCTACTGTGAAAACGGCAGGCTGCAGCCTGGGAAGAAAAGGCTGATGCTGCAACGAAAACGTTTACCGGCCTCGCTGCACCTCCTCCGG